CACCTCAGCCTCCCAAGGCGCGGGATTACAGGCTGAGCCACCAAGCCCGGCTATAAACTCCTTTTACATTGTATTTGTGACCATCTTTGGAGACTGCATTAATGTCTTCATGCCACAGGGGTGCACTATATGCCATGCTATTACATACAGTAAAAGGAAGGTTCATTTCTGCTTTAGATAGTCCACTCCCTAAAGATTACTCACCCTTCCTTTTTCAAATGTAGACTATGATCAATAACAGACCTAATATCACCAAAATGAATGCCAATGGTCATGGTAATACAGCATTCTACTTTACCTTGCAGATCAGTTAGAGCTTTAAAATCTTGTTCCATATCTACTACTTTATATGCTGTTGACATACAAACTAGCTTGAAAGAATTGCCATTAGAACCCACAAAACAGATTACATGGAATCATATTATTATAGTCACACAACAGTATTTACAAGTGACATTTCTCCTGAATAGTAATAACGACAAACAGTAAAAATATCATGTCTAGTTATCATTTGTCAAGCATCGACTAACAGCATCACTGTGATGGATGCTTTCAATCATTATCTACATTCCTCGTGATAATTTATGATATAGGTTTTCACTCCATTTTATAATTGAGGAAACTGAGGCTCAGAGATGCTTAGTGACTTCTGCAAGGCTACATAAAAAACTAAGCATCAGAACTTGGATTTGAAGTTGGGCCCATATGGCTACAAAATCCAAGCTCTCTCCAATACACTGTTGCAATGAAAAATAAGAAAACGTTTTCGTCTTACCCATAGTCATCTATTAGGTGAGAGCCAAGTACCACCACATCAAGTTCAAAGAACTCAGGTTCCGTCTTAATGCCAAACATGATCGGGGCAAGTTTAGAATAATCTGCACGGTTGCAAGTAGCAACGCAAACTCGAAGCTTTCGGTTATTTCCATTCTTCTCCATGACTTGGTTTTTTTGTTTTAAGAGGTTCTTAAAATAGAGTTCCTGAAGTTGCAAAAATAAAAAGTGTTTATAATCAGAATGATAACTCCTAGACATAAAAATAGAACTTTTCAGTTGTAAGTCCTTCACACCATTTAATGTAGTGATTCTTTTTTTGTTGTATTGTTTTTGGGTTGTTTTTTTTTTTAAGTTATTTATTTAATTACTTGTGCTTTTTTACTTTAAAGATGTGGGGTACAATTCAGGATTAGATACACAAGTGGTCATCGTACAGGTAACATTTGGGCCTCTCTTTGGTCCCCCCTTTGCCTGGTTTGAGATCAGGTACCCTTACTGATGATGTATTCCCCCTCCAACCCACCCACACCAGCAGTATCCCACCACTGCCAACATATGATTCTTAATCTTTCCACCCTCACTCCTGTGTGACACTCCCATTGGTGTATGAAATGCCAGAGAGAGAGTTATGAAATTCCAGCAGACCAGCTATAACTCCACTACTTTCTCTCACACTCAAGAAAACATACTAGAATGCAATAAAGAAGGGAGATAAATCAACTCTCATTTAGAAGGCAAGCAATTATCAGCTCTTTACTATTAGCTAAAAATTACCTGTCAAACCTCACAACTGAGCCCAACATACCAGACTGTTGCAAAACTGTCTAATGATCTAGTTCAACTCCTTCACTTTACAGAAAGGGAAACACAGGTCCTAAGAGGGAAAATTACCTTCTCAAGATTCCAGGTCATATCTTATAAGGAACAAAAATCTATTCACTCGCGTACTACCCACCCCATAAATACAAAGCAGAGTGATTAGTGCTGGGTAAGAAAAGAAGAGTAAGATGAAAACCCTACCTTCAAGGCCTCATCAGTATCTACACACCAGTGCCTACAAAATTGATGACTCCACATGCTTACCAGATATCTTCTGCTGTATATACCATAAGCACCTTAAAGTCAGTGTCCTATGCCAGGCATGGTGGCTCAAGCTTGTAATCCCAGCACTTTGGGAGGCCAAGACGAGAGGACTGCCTGAGCCCAGGGGTTTGAGAGCCTGGGCAACTTGGTGTGACCTCATCTCTACAATAAATCAAAAAATTAGCCAAGCATGGTGGTACACGCCTGTAGTTCCAGCTACTTGGAAGGCTGAGGCAGAAAGATAGCCCGAGCCCAGCAGGTCGAGGCTACAGTGGCCGTGAGCGTGCCATCGCACTCCAGCCTGGGTGACAGAGTGACTCCTACTCAAAAAAAAAAAAGTCTGTGTCCCAAACTGAATTCATTTTCTGTTCCAAATCCATTCTTCTTTCATAGTTCTCTAACTCAGTCATGCAATTCCATCCATTCAAATGCCTTGACATAGTTGCTTTTTTGTTCCTCACCCCATACCTCTGAAGCTTGTCAATTCCACTTCCTGAACAGCTTTCAAATCTCTCTCTTCATCTACCTCCCCAGGACTTCCCCTAGTCCAATCCCCCATCTTAGGTCTGAACTACTGGAACAGCTGTCAAAGTGATTTGCCTGTCTCCTCTTGCCCTGCCTCCCACAAACTTTCAAGTTATTTCCAAAGTTCATAAAGCTGATTATCAAGCTAAGCAGGATATACTACCTATGGGATAAAGTCCAAATTGCTGATATGGACCAAGCTCATCTTTCCAACCATTTCTCCCCTACCTGAAATTACCCTTATTCTGTGCCAAAGTGCCAGCCAAACCATACTGTCTCCTGTTCAACTAGTGGATTTCCATTTCTCTGTGCATTTATAGATGCAAGTACCTCTGCCTAAAACTTCCTTTTTCTCTTGCCTGGACTCCTACTCAGCCTTCACAACTCAATCTAAGTGCCACCCCTTCTGGAAAGGCTTCCCACAAACCTCAGTTCCTCTTCACCCTACACCTCTCAGTCACTGCTTTCCTCGGCACTATGGCCCTACCGTACACAAATATACTGTTGCTCAACTCTGCTGCTCACTCATTCTCCGACTGCCATGCTATACTCTCCATTTGAAAACTCAAAATAAGGTACTTGTTTTATGGAACATTAAAAAAATTTTTTGAGATGATGGGGGGGGGGTCTTGCTATGTTGCCCAGGTAGGAGTGCAGTGGCTATTCACAGGCAAGATCATAGTTCATTGTAGCCTTGAACTCCTGGCCTCACACAATCCTCCTACCTCAAACTCCCAAGTAGCTGGGACTACAGGCATACACCACCTCACCCAGCTTAGAACATTTTAAACTTCCCTACATCAACATAAAATTTCCCCTCTGGCAGGACGCAGTGGCTCACATCTATAATCCCAGCATTTAGGGAAGCTGAGGCTGGGGGATTGCTTGAGCCCAGGAGTTCGAGACCAGCCTAGACAACATAGCAAGACCTGGTCTCTACAAAATTAAAAAAAAAAAAAAAATCAGGCCAGGCATGATAATCTCATGCCTATAATCCCAGCACTTTGGGAGGCCGAGGTGAGAGGATTGCCTGAGCCCACAGGTTCGAGACCAGCCTGGGCAAGCTGGCGAGACCTCATCTCTACAATAAATCAAAAAAATTAGCCAGGTGTGGTGGCAAGCACCTATAGTTCCAGCTACTTAGAAGGCTGAGGCAGAAGGATTGCCTGAGCCCAATATGTCAAGGCTGCAGTGGCCGTGAGCGTACCACTGCACTCCAGCCTAGGCAACAGAGTGAGACTCTTACTCAAAAAAAAAAAAAAATTACCTCATCAACTCAGATTTCAATGTTCATGTTTCAGGAAATATGTCACTATTTAGAATTTGTAATCAGGAATTTAAAGAAGCTTGAGTAAGGATTTCATTACAATAAGTGCTACCCTTTAGATCAGTGTCAACTCCGAAACTCAGTGAAAATTCTATCAGTAACCCTCTGCTACTGGTACCTCATCTCAGGCTAAAATTCTGTGACCAAGCAAATTGCCCCATCAATAGGTCCACTCTGAATTTACAATCCCCAGTGAAAGTTAAATCTACACAGTGGAAAGCACCTCTAAGATAATGAAATGAGCATTCTTCCAAAAGAGTTGTATCCACAAAATCTAAGCACTTCTTAATTATTAAAGATTGTCTCTTCTTCCAAAAGTGGTTTGTTCTTCCACTGATCAAATTTAAGCTGAATAAATTGTTGGTAATATTTAATTTGCTGGGTGAAGCAAAGCAAATCATTCATGGTTGGTCAATTTGTATTTAGTTTACAAAGAACAGTAAATTTTCCATCTGGCGGTACTAAAATACTTAGTATTTACCAAGTAATCAAAGGTGGTTATTCTGCATAAACTGAGAACAAACTGGCTGTATAAATAAACCATGAATAATACAACCATATTACTTAAGCCTAAATCTTTTTTTTTAAGAAAAGAAGTTAAGTCTTTAAATGAAAATAATGGTGAAATGTCTTTTGAAGGGGAAGATTTTTAAAAAAATAATTTTAACTCAACATTTTTTCACTGGGTAGCATAATCACATGGTTTAAAACTGAAAAGTCCCAAGAGGCTATATGACAAAAAGTCTACTCATACAGTTCTTACCCCTGGAAACTACTAACAATTACTGGTTTCTTATCAATTCTTCTATAGATAAACTATGATTATGTAATTAAATACATATACTTACAGATACACCAATTGCATAATTGGCAACATTCTACAAATTGTTGTTGTACACCTTGTTAAAATGTCTTTAATTATGATTCTGAATTCAATGGTAAATATAGGAAAATTCAAAGGCATTGGAAATATCAAATTTAAAAATGCAAAGTTTTGAAAATTGCTGGCCATCAACTTTTCAAATATATGAAGAGTTATGAGTGCCCTAAAAGCAAAAACACTCAATGTCATACATATTTATTGAGTATCTACTCTATGCAGCATACTGTAAAGAAAACTGAGAGAGGCATAGCGCTAAGAAAGACCTAGTTTCCGATGTTTAGGAACTTACAATTTAGTACATGACACCAGACCACATAACAGATCTTAATCAGTTCACTTTCCCAAATAGAAGCACCAGAAACAAAAGTAATAATTTTTTTCTGCATTCAGTATATGTTGTTAATTGTTCTGGATAAGATGTTACACACAAAGATAAATTTTGTTTTGTTTTGTTTTGAGTCGGAGCCTCACTCTATAGCCCAGGCTGGAGTGCAGTGGCACACTCACAGCCACCACAGCCTTGACTTGCAGGGCTTAAGATGATCCTTCTGCCTCAGTCTCCCAAGTAGGTGGGACTACAAGTGTGGGGCACCATGCCTGGCTAATTTTTTTTGCCTTTTTGTAGGGACAAGGTTTCGCTATGTTGCCCAAGCTGGTTTCAAACTCCTGGACTCAAGCAATCCTCCCACCTCGGCCTCCCAAAGTGCTGGGATTACAGGCGTGAGCCACCGCATCTGGCCTGAGAAACCCAATTCTTAAAGAGCACTTCCTGCATTCTTTCAACTTAAGACTTTTCATTATAAATACTGACAAAAAGGTGATCAACCCTTGCCAGAAAAAATAAAGAACGTCCCACTCAATTGTGGAAAAAGAGTTATTTGTGAAGATAGTTTTTATAGGTCTTTAATGAACACTTTAATGAACACCTGATTCAAATAGCCACCGAACAGAGGAAACAACAGTAAGCACTGGCTGAGCGCTTCTCAAGCGCCAAACATTGTACTAATAGCTTTGCAAGCACTAACTCATTTCATCCTCACAGCCTTTGTATTAGCCCCATTTACAGACAGGGAGCACAAAGAAAACAATTTACTTGCCCCAAATCATAAGCTGAATCACTGAAAGAACAAAAATCGAACTCAGAGCTAAATGACTTCAGCACTCAGGCTACTGTCCCACACCCAGTGTGTGCCTTGTGTCCGTTCATTCCATAAACATCCATGAATGTAAAACTTCCTCGAAAAGAACGATACACCATCCCCTTCCTTCAGTGCAGTGAGGATGAGGCTCAAAGGGACAAGAAGAAAAGCCCTATATAAAGAGGTCTGGAACGCAGAACCCCATTCCAGAGTTAGAACTCGGTTTGGCTTCTCCTCCAGAGCTCCCAAAGTTGGGTTAGCCAGTTATCTATACTGCTAAGCTGTACCCCACCCCTTCCTATCAGAGGAGCAAAGAATACTTTCTGGAGCTCTAACAATTTTACCAGCGTGCTCAAGGCTGGGGAAAAGAACATACGAAAACTTCCAAGGAAGCCCAGACTCGGAACGTCGACTCAGAGTAGGGAGGGGACCTCCAAGATCACGGTGAGCCCAGCCCTTCACACCCCAGGGCAACGTGTCTCCCCAGCAGCTCCCCGCCCTCCCTCCCACGCACGCGCCGGCAGCCGTACACTCACTCTTCTCGCCACCTGACAGCACCGTCCGCGGAGATGGAGCCAATCCAGGCCTCCCTCTACATCCGACCCTGCTCCCCCGGGCCCACCCTGAGCCTGTCTGCCTCAGGGGCCAGAGGGGCCCTGGGAGTAGGCCCGCAGGACACGGGAACACCCGCGAGTCCTGGGCGGGGTGCGGGCCTGGAAGCGCGGTGGGATGGGAAGCTGCCGGCAACCGAGAGCTGAGGCCTGGAGCCGGAGGCGGCTCCGGGGGCGGCAGGATGCTCTCCCTAGGTCCCCCGCGGATGCGCGGTTCTCACCAGATGCTGTCAGGGATTCCCTCCCGCGCCACCGCCGCGCTTCCCGAGCGAGAGCCGAAGCGAGCGCCACGAGGCGGGCGGAGCGAAAGCCCGCTCCTCGGTTCCGCAGCTCGGGTGCTCGAGTCGATGACTCGACGCTCGACCCTGATCCCCCCAGCCTTCTCGAACGCCTCGCCACGCCCACCCGGAGCGCCGAATCGGCGATCGCGCCCCGACACCGGCCAGAGGGCTCCCGTGATTGGCTGCTCCCAGCCCCGCCCCGCCCCCTTCCCGGCGGGGTAGCGTGGGGGAGGCCCCGCGCGGGACCCGCGGAGCGCCTGGCTGGACCGTGAAGGGGAGCTGTCCCGCCGGCCTCTGTTTCCGCCCCTGAGCGTTCTCCGCTGGCGACACACGATCTGAATCTCGGGTCTTCCCCTGGGGTCGCTGTCATGGCCTTGCACCCCAAGGATTTTTTACGTCTTCCATCCCTCGGTTATTTCATAGACCAGGACCAAAACAACACTATCGTGTAGCCGGCGCATCCCAGAGCTGTCCCTGGAGTGGAGCCTCGCCATGTCTGCTAGAACGTGGGTGGAGTGTTGGATGATGACCCAGGCAAGTCAGCGTTGGCCTCTACTGTAGGGAACTCCCAGCCAGTGTCAAGGCCCAGGGATATTCAGGGGAAAACCTGGTGACAGTGGAAAAAGTGGCGAGAAAGGGCTCACACACCTCCTGATGAAGACTTTTTTTTTTGAGTTGGAGTCTCACTCTGTCGCCCAGACTGGAGTGCAGTGGCCGCTCCCGGCCACCGC